GTGCCCTCTGCATCTTTCTGTCTGCTTTGCATTGAAGTTATCAGTGGGAAAAACCCATACTTTCTGATTCGTGTATTTTACTGTCTTAATATAACTTATTTTCATATATTTGTTAAATTTTACATTATCAATACAATAATAATGGGAAAATATTTTAAAATTGGAAGAAGACAAAAGCAAATAGTATTAAGAAATTAGTGAAAGTTGTAAAATTTTGTAAAATATATTATAACGGTAAGAAATGTTTCGGTCCAATAATTACTCCCGCTTTAGCTTGTGTTTTTCTAGACGTTCATTTACTCGAAGCTGTGGTACATTCCTTTTTTTCCTGTTAATTTCGTTATAATAAATTTTTGTTGCAGGGCCTAGGAGTGCCTTTCAATCTGGCAAGCTATGGCCTCCTCACACACATGATTGCGCATGTTTGTGGTCTTAAGGTACTTTTCTTTGATTTTGCGAAATTTAAAAAATTCTAAGTTTTAAAATTTTTTAAATTTTTTTAAAATTTATGTGAAGACTAATTGCATTCTGATGATTTTTAATGTATTTCTCAGTTCTACTGTTTAGACTGGGTATCTGCATCATTCGTTGGGTGATGCGCATGTCTACGTAAATCATGTTGATGCGCTGCAAGAGCAAGTTAGTTTATTTTTTCAGAAATTAATCGAATATTTGGGCAATTTGCAAAATCTTATTTTTTTTTGCTCGATTTGCAGCTGAAACGTGTGCCACGACCGTTTCCCACTGTTCGATTTGTTGGCGATATCAAAACAATCGATGATTTTACGGCCGAATCAATCGTGCTGGAGAATTATAAGCCGATGTCTACAATCAAAATGGAAATGGCTGTTTGAATTTAAGGCCTTTCTTTACTTTGATACTTCGATTTGCTATCGCTTCACTGTAGCGCATCTTCGCATCAACTAAAAATTCCCTTGTAATAGTTGAAACTTTCACCTGTTGCATTTACTGTTAATTATCCTGTTCTTGATCCTGTTAGTCACTTTTTTTTCATGATTTTCATGAAGAACTATTTGTTATTCATTTATTAGTGGTTGTCCGAAGCTCCTCTTTCTATTTACCTCGAGCTGCATTTCACTTCGGGCGCATTTACGGTTTTTTTGTATTTCTCCTTTTATAAGAACTTGTTAGTTTTTTCTTGTTGAATCTAGGTAGATTTTTTTTTGTTGAATTTAGGTACAGGTTTGTTATTTTGTTGAATTCTAGGTACCGCTTCATTGCTTCCATTGCTTCTGTTGCCTTTTTGAAAAAAAAAGCCTTTTTAGTTGTTCTTATGCAATAAATAGTTTTTCCATTCGTATAGAGTTTACCATCATTTAATATAGTTATAGCATACACTTTTGTGTGTTTCTAGAAGTGTAGATGTTGGGCAATTTGGCAATGTTCAGGTGCAATTTTGCTTTTTTTCAGTTTCAGTAATTTTCATTGGGGGTGACTTCCTTATAAACGAGTGGAAAGTGTTGCGAATTTTTCTTAAAGTAGTTCTGAGTACCTCCGTTTCTTGCCGATTGTGAAATTTGGTGAGTGTTCGTATTATCATTAGTGACTCTGTGCATACAGGCACCGAGTACTGCTCAGTGAAAGCATTTCTGGATGACCAACTCAGAAGTATCTATGGCAAAGGACTTCAAATCATTTCGCTTTCCGTGTTCATTTGAGGAAATCAAGTACTGTGATATGTCCATTCGAAGTGGTATCGAAAAAGTTCTACTTTTCTTTCTTTACATATTACTACTCATCTTTTATAACACTTTCTATTTTTACTAACATGCTTTACATAACTTATTAAAATTTGATTTGTACTAACATTGCAATTGCCGCAGTCGTCGTACTGGCGAGGTCCAATTGTGGTAATGGTAAGAAATGTATACGATTTAATGGGCCGAAATATTCCTTAACATTGTTATGATTTTATTAAAGCAATTTCACTTATTTTACTAATTTCATAATTCGTATTTCCTAACAGTTCCACTTATTTTGCTAATTTCATAATTATTTCCTACTTTCCTGTTCCATTCTCCTTATTTCAGTATACCTTTTTATTGCGGTTCGCATGTACAAGTTTGCATGCGATCCTTCTGCGTCACGTCCATTCATTTTAGGGCTCTTTTAAGTCATTCTTCATTTTGACAAAAGCTATCATCAGCTTTTTTGTAAGTAATTCTTAGGCAAGGAGCTATTGAGCATTCTTAGCCGGGGATTGGTTGCTTTTTGCGCATGCCAGTTGTACTACTCTCGATTTTGGCGAGCGAATTACTGAAAAGATTTTGGCTTTGGTGCTCAATTCAAATACTTCTTTTTCAGTGTTTTTGCTAGCTCTTAAAAAATCATAAACTTTAGAATTATTTGAGCATTTTAGATTATCACTGTGCGTATGTTGTCCCAGCTGAAATGGACTGTTACAATTTGCATATGCAAATATAATACAGTTTTGCATGTGTATCCCAGTATATGATTTAGTGCTGAGCCAGAAGCGGTCCTTCAATTGCCAAGTAAGCCATTTGCAAGTTGGAAGAACCTTTCAATTATCCAGTAAATTTATGCAAATTTGGGAGCGAGACATGTATTTAAGTGGCCAAATACAGCCCTTTGTTCAGTTTATTTTCTAAACAATTAATGCGTGGTGGTGTTGTTTTACACCATGGATCCGGTAAACGTGATATGCGGTGCTGCAGAGCCCTCCGAAATTACATTCATTTACGATTGGCTGGTGCCGATATTTCGCCCAATAAATGGTTTCAGTGTTTTTGGCGACACCGAGACATTTTGCACCAACTATCGCAGTGCCAGCCATGAGTGGTTCGTTTTTTTTAATACGCGCTTCTCCTTCTCGCATGAGGTATTTCACATGTTTGACAGCTCTATTTATAATAAAACATTCGGTTGGATTGGCTTTTTTGGAAAATTCACCTCGATTTATAGTGGGAGGAGAAACTGGGCTTCAGCTGGTTTTTACTAATACTCAACTGGTGATTCTTTAAATTCAAAGCAGTGATTCTTTAAATTCAAAACCCAGTTTGCAGGCCTAACAACGTTTTTTTCACATCCTTTCGTGACAATGAATCCCAGCTGGCAACTTCTCTATTCTTCTGTATATTTTACGCTTGCCAAACCCAAGTACAGGCGTCCAAATAGATCTTTCCGGCTTTTTTGGTATCGCTGCAAAAGTGTCGTTGAGCATCATGAGTGAATTCTTGACTAGCCGGAGAAATATTTCAGGATGGTGCATTTGTACA